TGTAGCCAGGTGCCACCGTATTGCCATTATTGCTGTATTCCATCTCTCGAGGCCACTCACTAAACATGAGCCATACTGTAGTGTTGTTCCACTGACGGTACACTCGGATCTGGAATTAGAATAACCCTATCTGGGACCCTCGGGTCCCCCTTTGACCCTGGGTGCTCACACACAAGGTACAAGCTCGTCCCCCAATTACTCTCAGACACCAGCTGGCAGCCTCTTTTTTCTAGACGTTAAGTAGCAACTGGGTACTTGGCGCCATCTGCTGGTGGTCTCTGGAAGCAAGGCAGCGACGGCTAGAATTGGTCTGTCCCAGCTGTTTCAGACAAACCTACCTCTTCAAGCAGGTGTGAGACTAGGACCCGTCTCCAGTCACCCTCTGGCGTCCTGGGGACCAAATGAGCTCTGTGATAGAACATAGCTTTTCTAGAGAGAGAGAACACCCTGGAAACACAGCACCCCATGTCCCTCAGCCTGTGTGATTTAAGGCAATCTCACTGCGGTAGGACCCCACCACCTTCCATTAGCCCAGAGACAGGAGCTAGGCCCAGCACTAGACATACGTCAGAGGAGGCGAGCTGGGACCAGAACTTGTCCTGTGGGCACTGGCCTCATCACCCCCAGACACAGAAAGGGCTCCACAGTGAACAGCCGCTCAGAATACAGGGATACGGCCCTTCCTGAAGGCTGGCCGTCCAGGGAACCAGTGCTAGACACTGAAGGGCTGGAGGGCCAAATTCATGGCCCAGCTTCCCCACCTGCACGACAACCTCATTGGTCCACCTTTCACCTGCTGAGCACAGCCAGTCTGCCTCTCAGGCTTCTGGAAATTAAACAGGGCCACACTCTCCATCTTTTCAGGATGAAGCCTGCCTTAGCAAACAGATGAGCCCACTGGCCTGCTCCCAGGGCCCTAGCAGCTGCTTACATCATCACCAGCGGCTGCCTGGTGCACTGGGTGTCTGCGGATAAAAGGGCCCCCTGCCACCCCAGTGTGGGCTTCCTCCCATACCTCTTTCTGCCCCCTCTGCTCTCTCGTATGTCTCTCTGTCTTGTTCCCTCTAGCTCCCTGTCTGCCTGTATCTCTCCTCCATGTCCCCGCTCTGAGATGCCTTTTGCTCTCCCCTCCCCCAATAAACCTTATACTAGATCTGCCCTGTAGCGTTAAGTTCTCAGGGGCACGCCTTGGTGCAGGCCCTCTAAAGGAACCCCCACACCCCTTGCTGGCAATTTATCCCATCAGCCTGGTCCATAGCAACATACTAATCATCGTGGGCTCAATGTAGAGGACACTCCAACTTCTTCCCCACCAAAAGCGTGTATACAGCACAATCCTGGCTGTTCCCTCCACCTGTGAGTCTACTGAGCACTTACAGTGTGCAAAGCATTGTACTAGACAGCAGGACTGGATGGAGAAGGCAGTTTAGACGCCATACCGAATGGAGCTTCTGGTCTAAAGGGGAGTCAGGAGATAGACACCAAACTCATAAACTCACAGCAAAGCTGCCAAAGGAGCACGTGACCAGGAAAGAGTGGACCTGAGTGGTTAGAGAATTATCTTTGCCTTCCTTCCTTCCTGCTGGTAATAAGGGCGTGATGGCTGGTATTTTTGCAGCCATTCTGGACTACAAGGCAAAGCTGATGGGCAAGAAGGGCCATCATCCCTGAGAACTGCATTGTTCACTCTTGGTTTTTATGAAGACATAGGGGACATTCAGCCTGCTTTAAGAACTGTAGTTTCTTAGTTCCTTTGCCCTCCAAAAGCTCTGAACCCCACGCCTAAAATTAGTAAGGAACAGACCATCTCCTCACTAGCCAGAAGGAACCTGAGTGGGAGGAGTCTCGACAGGTTTTGAGTGGAAGGAATTGGCAGAAGTCAGAAGAATTGCTGGATAAATCAAGCTAGAGATGAATCTGGGGTGTTGAGCTGGAGCCGATCTCCAGTGCTGTCTGCAGACACGGCTAGAGAAGATGCAGCCGATGAACCCAGCAGTGAAGAACAGCCTGAGAGAGGGGCTCCGAGCCAGGAGACCCAGCCTCCACACCAGACACCCCTCCTCAGCTCACCCCGACTGTGATGCTTCAGAGTTGGCCTCCGAGGGATCTGGCTTCAGATCTACCTCTGACTAATTAAGAGGGCGCAGACAACTGCTCTGGCACCTTTGAGTCCTGGCTTACTAACGGAACAGTGGCAATGGGTGAAAATGTGGAGGCGAGCCTCCACGCTCCTCCTGGACCTGTGCTCCATCGGTCCCTTGAAGAGTTTCCAGGTTTTAGCCACTGTCTCGGAACAAGATGGTTCCCCAGAACCAGCTGAGCTCCACCGAGAAATTCAAGAGGCTTTTACACAGTCTTTGTGAGTATGTATGCGGGGGGGGGGGGGGGGGGGCGCTGAGGGGTGAAGTGTGCCTGCGCAGGTGTGTGTGAGTACATGTGTGATTGTGCGTGCACACCCACACAGGAATGCAGAGGATAACTCAGATGTCCTTCCCCGAGAGCCACCCACATCTGTTTTTGAGTCAGGGTCTCTCACCAGTCTGGAACTTGCCAGGGAGGCTAAGCTGGCTGGCCAGGTGCCCGAGGAACCTGTCTGTCTCTCTCTCTCCCACGTGGGGCTCTGTGTGTGTTGGGGAGGGAGGTCAAACCCAGCTCCTCACACTTGTGAAGCAGTTGCCTGCCGGAGACATTTCTGCAGCTCCTGGCCAATTTCTTAACAGCAATACGCTGACGGGTAGTACCCAGGCATTTTTCTTTTTTCTTTTTTTTCCCACCAGAATTTCAAAAGCAAATTGCACTCTAAATATTCCGACAGTAGGCAGCTTCCGCTGAGGTGTACCTGGCAGCGGTCAGATTTAAACCACTAGTCTGTGTCATCACTACGTCTGCTCACACACTTCTTCCCGGGCCCAGCAACGGCTGCAGGAGATCCGTTCTCCTGCCTTCTGCAGGACACACCCTGACTAAGACGCAAGGCGAGCAAGCAGGAGATCGGCCAGACTGGCCTCATGCAAAGGACAAGTGACGGTGCCGGGAAGTGACAGCCACGTCACCCAGGTCTCACTGATTAAAAGCAGGGCACTGGGCCCCTGAGCAAAGCTGGGAGAGTGTGAGAGGTGGAAATTTTCTGGATGTGCTGGGCTAGATCTGGCCACCCCCACTTACAGGGCACACAGACCTAGAAAGAAACCAAGTCCCCTCAGCCCCCAACGGGTCACCTCCCGGGACGGCAGAAATGTGGGCTAGGCATAACCAAGACTGTGGAGTGCCACAAAGAGAGGCCATGACTCACCCTCCTCCCGTGGCCCCCAGGCACCCCAGCCTCAGGCTCCCTGATTCCGTGTACCGAAAACCAGAGGAGACCACACACCTGTCGCCTCCCCAAAGCACAGCTTCTGGGTGTCTGGTCATACTTCCTCTCCTGATCCTGCATCCCGCTTATGAAAGAGGAAATGACAAGAGGCTTATAACTCTCTCTGACACATTACTCAGACCAGGGTGAAGCCGCAGTAAATGTGGATTAGGATAAAATTGTGGGCGCTTGCCATAGGAATCTCCCTGGAAGGGGGCCATGCTCATGCCCAGAATTTCCACCAGGTGGCGCTATGACACAACTTTCAAAACATGGATCTACAGGCCAATGAGCCCAGAGCCCAAGGACAAAGAACCAGGACACCTCCAGCCCAATACCCTCTGCCTTATGTCCTCAACTGCAGTCTGCTGCTACTGCCAGCTCCTCAGGCCCCCACCTGGAAGTGAGAGTCTGGGGCCCTCCTATGGACCCAAGCCTTGTCTTGAACGAGCCTCTGGATTCTCTTCATAGGGTGTGGACTCTTAGAAAAGAAACTGAACTTTAGAAAGGGAAACTACATTCCTACAAAGGCCTTTCAACTGTATAGCTCTGATGTGTCACAGGAGGACCTAATTCATATCCCTTAAGGCATTCCATGTATGGAACAAGTGGACCCAGAGCCCCAAGGGACAAGGTGGCTCTGGGGAGAGAAATGCAGGGCAGGGAGTCGGCTGTGGATGGGGACGTGAGGAGGCAGGCCTGCCAAGGCCTGTCCCTGTGAACAGCTGAGCTTCCAAGCAGCTGCACTCCTCTTCCACCACGAAGGCCCCTGGCCTCTCCCCTCGGGTCCAGAAATGAAGGCTCCGGAAACCTGTGGTAAAGGAGTTCCACCCTGACGAGAGGCTCCCAGCCGCAGGGGAACAGTGGACGCAGGGACTGAGGGAGAAGAGAAGCATCTCTGTGCTGTTCTCCACCATAGGGGCACACACAGCCACCCTAGGGACCTGAGAGGGTGAGGTTCCTGGTACCAAGGCGGGCCTGGTCTCCAGGCTGCACTCTTCCGGAACCAACACCCTGAGCCCATCAGACCTGAACCTATTGCTTCTCGCAGGCAGTCTCTGTGAAGGCTCAAGAATTCAAGAGCCACTGGGCAGTGGTGGCACACACCTTTACTTCCAGTGGAAACAGGTGGATCTCGGAGTTCAAGGACAGCCTGGTCTACAGAGCTAGTTTCAGGACAGCCAGGGCTACACAGAGAAACACTGTCTCAACCCCCACCACCACCACCACCACCAAAGAAAGAGTTCAAGTTGCCAAACCCGAGGCCTCCTTTCAGGAAAAGAGGGCTACCTCACCATGACACCTACTAAGAACAGCTCACTATGGCCAGGGCTTTTGAGAGCTGCTGGTGGGAGGTAGCCAGGCAGCCCTTGAGCCCCCCCCCCCAGCAGGAAGGATCCCAAATATATACTCCATCTTCTAATCCGTCCCAGTCATTCTGGCCAAAGGACCCCTCCCCCAAAGCTGACCTTGGCATTTGGAGTGTCAGGTTTTAGCGCTTCCCTCAGCACTAGGCCAGGGGTCTAGGTCTGCACCTCATCCCCCAGCCCCCATCCTACTGAGAAAATCCAGGAAACCACTACAGTCAAACACCCCTGCCACCTCCTCCCCAAAACCAACCATCCCCACCAGCTTTTTCGGTCTTCCAGTGTGAGTCATTCACCAGCTTCTTAAAAGGGACTCGGATTTATTTATTGAAAATATCACAATAGCTGGCCATGCTATCACGCACCTTTGGTCCCAGTGCTAGGGAAGCAGAGGCAGGCGGATCTCTGTGAGTTCAAGGCTAGCCTGTTCTCCATAGTGAGTTCCGGGCCAGCCAAGGCTATACAGTGAGACCCTGTCTCAGAAAAAGAAAAGAGAGAGAGAGAGAAAGAAAAAAGAAAAAAAGGACAGAAAAGAAAATGTCACAATAAACAGAATGTAATACCCAATTGAAGAAAAAGAAAGGACACCATTAAAACAAAGGAATGTTATAAAACGCTGGGTAACTGCCAGCTGCTCCGAGCCCCAGGCTTGCTCCTGGTGAGGACTTGTGTTCTGGGAGGATACAACATAAGCCTTTCTTACCCTGGCTTGTGCTTTGTAGTGGAGGCCCTGTGCCCCTAAAACCATTCCAAGAAAACCACAGTACTCTCTATTTCTCAGCAACGCTGGCCCAGAGAGTCCCTCTGCCTCCTGCTTAACACAGCGGAGAAATCCACACTCACGGTCTCCTGCACGGTCAGGCTCCCTCCCCCATGCTTGGTCTCACCCGAAAGCCTAGCCAGTCCTACTGAGCACTCCCACCGTCATGGTTCCCCCCAGAGGTCACCGCTGGCTCAGGTGGGACACCAGGTAAACCAGGCCCACCAGCAGGAGCCCCCGGACCCCGAGCATCATGAGCAGGAAAAGCAGGAGGACGGAGGTCACGGGCTCCACCACGTGGTTCCCAAGATGCCACTGGGGGAAGCCCATGTTCACCAACTGCCGGTTCAGGTCACTGAAGGGCGACTGCGCGGCACCCAGTCCGGCACCTGCCTGCTGCTGCCGGGGTCCAGGACCCCCGGGAGGTGCACCGTGACCTCTGCTGAAAAAGCCCTGGAAGTGAAGACAGACAAATGAGTCCAGAGGGAAGCTTCCCTGGGATTGAGGCACCAGCCAGGAGACTCCAGGCTGGGCCCTGCCCTCCCCTGTGACCATCCTGGAATATGCGGAGAGGGCAGGGGTGATGCAGAGTGATGCGCGCGCAGTGGGGGCCCTGAGGTCAGCATCCTCTCCATAAAGCATTCTGAAGCCAGATGCTCAGCTTCTCTCAGCTTAGCTCCACCCCAAGTTCTTGTGATGCTGGCTTCACAAGAACTGCCAATCCCACCAAAAAGAGAGCGAGCTCTTGGTGTGAGGCCTTAAGGCTCCCCCTCCCCCAGAGGCAGGCGCCAGACAGTAAGTCCTTCCTTACTCTGCTAGACCCTCTGTGGAGAGAGCAGCAGACTATAGAACATTGGTTCTCAGCCAGTGGGTCGCGCCCATTTGGGAGTCAAATGACCCTTTCACTGGGGTCACGTGGGCCTATCAGAAATCACAGATATTTACATTACGATTCGCAACAGTAGCGAAATCAGGGTAATGAAGTAGCAATGGGGTCACTGCACCACGAGGACCGTCCCATCAGGGCGGCTGAGAACCACCACCACGGAAGCTAACGCGGCCAGTTTGAGGGGCTTCTGGCGGTTGGGGCCAGCTGCTACCCCTCTCTTCAGGACCGACGCCTGGGGATGCCTGCCTACCTGCCGAGCACCGCTACTTCTCTGCGGGGCGGTAGTCCTCACTCGGGGGTCGTCATCCTGAACGATCTCCCCATTGGCCAGGATCCTCACCATCCTCCCAGGCGCTGTGACTTCCTTCCGGGCTGTACCTGCAGTGAGCGGATGCCCGCGTGTTGCCTCAGAGGCCTTGCGTCACCAGTAGCCCTCCTGGTCTCCTCCTCTCCCCTGCCCTCCAAGGGCCTGGTGCGGATAATTGGGAGGGGATGTTTGTCAGCGGTGGTCATGCGGTGACCCACGCTCAGCAGGTGCTTATCTGGAAATAATGCAAGGGAGGAAGGAGGAGAGAAGGAAGAAGGAAGGGAGGAAAGAAAAGAGGGAAGGAGAGAAGGGAGGGAGAGCCCCAAAGGCCTGGCCAGCTGGTGCACACCTGTAATCCACCACCAGGACTCCAGCAGGTGGAGCTGGAGGGTCAGGGGTTAAAGGGCAGTCCGATGTTTCTGGCCAACCTCTGTTTTGTGAATCCCTGCCTCGACAAAAGAAACAAGGGGAAGGGCGGTATTTTGTGTGCTAACTAAAGAAACGAAAAGAAAAACTGAAGGGGTTAGGGTGCGGTTCCCAAGCACTGCCAAAAGAGCGAGCGTCAGGAGCTATCCAAGTCCCGGGTGGCAGAACCTGGGGCCACCAAGCTGGGAAGGGCGGACCTCCGCAGCTGGGGGCACGCCCCACCCACCCCTGCCCCCTGCCTATAGGGAGCATCAGTGCTAAAGGGCAGGGCCCAGTGCTCCTCCCTTTCTGAGTGGAGGCTGCAGGTGCGACGCTGGGCAAACCCAGCTCTGCAGCCCCCAAGTGTGACAGTGGTCCTGGCAAAGCCGCCCGAGGAACGCCTCGGTGCTCCGGCCGCTCTGCGCGCCGGGGCACCGAGGCAAGGTGGGCCCGGGGAGGAGCGCGGCGTGGACCGGCAGGGTCACGGTTCCGCGCTGCGGCCCCTGCTTTGTCATCCCGCAGGCTGGGCCACCCGCGCCGCCGCAGCATCTCGGCCGGGCGTGGCTCCAGTCCCCGCGGCGGTGGGGAGGGACGAGGACCCGGACCCGGCGCCAACACCCACCTGCGCGCACGGTTCGCTGGCCTCCGCGTCCACGGGCGGCCGCTTCCTCCCACCTGACCTCACAGGAAGCGCGCGCCGCAGGGGCGAGGCCGGGCACGGGGCCCCCTCTGCCGGCTGCAGAGGGAACTGCAGCTGCGGGGTGCGGGGGAGGGGAGAGGGGGAGGAGAGAAGGGGAGGGAAGGAAAAGAGAAGGGAAAAGGGGAAGAGGAAAGGAGGGAAAGTAGCAGCTAGACAGCAAGAGGAAGGAGGGAGGAGGAGGGAGAAGGAGGAAAACGTATAGGGAAGAGATGAAGGGGTTGAGGATTGGGATGGGGAAAAGTCGGGGATGCTGGAGAGGAGGTGTAGGCACAAGCTAAGCCCACAGGTAAACTCTGCTCAAATCTGCCCAGGCGACCCTGCAGCGCCCCTAGAGAAGGACCCAGCCTCGCCCTTCGAGACCTCCAAGCTCCTTAAGGATCACAAGATAGTCTCAACCAATTTGTAGCAGCCTTTCCTGGGGGAAAGGAGGGGGGGTGTTTGAGACAGGGTAATCAAATTAACTGTTGGCCTCATAGTGAGTCCGGGTGTAGGGAGGAGGAGAAAGGAAGGGTGGAAAGGCAGAGAAAGGGAAGAGAGAGTGGAGGGAAGGAAAGAGACAGGACAAGTGTGTCTCCTTCCCCGAAGCCTGAGGACCTTAAGCCCACACGGAGGAAGGAGGGAACTCGCTCTCTCACAGCCCTCTGACTCTGCTGTGGTGAGAATGGAGAGAGCCTGGCACTGAGAGAGCAGGCACCGTGCCTGCAATCCCAGCACTCGGGGAAGCAGAGGCCTTGAACTCGCAGAGATCTGCTACCTCTGACTCCTGAGTGCTAGGATTAAAGGTGTGTGCTACCACGCATATTTTTTAGTTAGAGTATTTTATCACAGAAACGAAACGAGAACAGATAGCCAGCAGCAGCAAATCTGACATCTGGAAGGAAGAAAGGGTTGTACTAGTATCTGCAAATGAATAACGGAAGCATCGAAGCTAAAACATGGGCAAAAGAATTCATCAGGCATATTATAAAACAAATCTAAATGACCAGTAAAGCCTAAAAGTGTGCTCAATGGAACAAGTTGGAACATTGTGAGTCATCAGGTGGGCTGAGAGTAGAGCGTGTACCACATCCTGGCAATCCTGGGCAGCAAGGAGTGGTCCTATAAGCTTCTGGTGGGCGTGCGAGCCCAGTACGCACCACTCTGGAGAACCAATAGGAACTGTTCCTTTCTGCATCCCTGTGATAATATAACTGAAGGAGGCAAAATCAGAGAGGAGCACTTATTTTGGCTCACAGCAGAGAAGGCATGGCGGCTGGGACTCCATCCTTTGTGACCAGAGCCTCTCTTCTTATAAGGCTCCAACCAGGAAACAAAGACAGGAAGTGGGACTGAGGTAAAACCCTCAAGTCCCAAGCCCAAGTTACCTCAAACTAGGTCCCATCTCTTAAAGGATCCACAACCTCTCAAAACAGCATCACCAGCTGGGGACCGAGGGTTAAACCGAGAGCCTATGGGAGGCATTTCACATTCAAACCATGACAGTGAGTATCTGTGTTCTTTATGATGTAGGACCCAGGCGTGAATGCTCATATGTGCCACGTCGTATACACAAGTGTGTTTTCCGTAAAGGAAACTGGAAAGCAATTTAAATGCCCATCAAAGTAAAATATGTGAGAAGATTGTCTGAGTGATTAGATGTAATACTGTGCAGTCATAAAGACTGGAGAGATGGCGATAGTTAAAAGTATGTGCTTGGCAAGGACACCACAGTGACAGAGTGTGCGGGAGAGGGGAGCTGGTCACCTCATAAGCAGACAGAAAGCAGAGAGGCAAAGAGGTGACTGCAAAACCAGTACAGCCATCAAAGGAACAAAGAATGCATGCAGGGACCAACTTTCTCCACATGGCGCTCACTCCCAAGATAGCCCAGCTGGGCCCAAGTATTCACAGCATGAGCCTGTGGGACATACTATAGTCAAAATTCAACAGATATGTTAAAACATCTTTTAAAAAGGTTTTAAATTATTATTTCATAAGGGTGTGTGTATGTGTGTGTGTGTGTGTGTGTGTGTGTGTGTGTGTGTGTGTGTGCAGTTGCCTATATAGGCCAGCAGAGGGCACCAGATTCCCTAGAGCTGGGGCTACAGGCATTTAGGAATTGCTGGATGAGGGTGCTCAGAGATAAATTCTAGTTCTGTATAAGAGCAGCAAGTGCTCTGAACTGCTGGGCAGCTCTACACGCCCAGCAAAAGCTTTTGTGGTTTTGTTTTGTTGTTTTAAACCAAAGAAATTATTACAGCAAATGCAGTGATGAGCTCTAGGCCAAGAAGGCAGGACCACACTAACAAGAAGCCTGCCTGGCAGGCGGGGCCTCGAGGTCTGGCAGGCTGCTATTTCTTGACTGCTTAGTAGCTCGTGGACATCCCTTTTGTAATGGCCTGTTAATCCCTCATAGGAAAGGAGGAAGATGCAGGAGCAGGGGAGGAGCCAGTTTAGCAGGAAGTGCTTCCGGTCAGGACAGCTTCAGGGGCCAGGGAGCTTAGATTTGCACTCTCCAGCTCTCCCACCTTCTTGCTGTTTGACCTTGTGTGGTTTCCTTACTCTCTGTGTGTCTGGGTAGCTCCTCTTTAAAACCGGCACAATGACCTTGTGTGAGGATTGGTATAACATGCTGTAGTCAGGGCAGGAGCTATGTTAAGTAAGTTCAGATTCGTGCATTTCTTCCACACAAAAGTCTCTTAAGTGCTGTGCTATGCCAGCCTTCCAGGAGCCTTCACAAGGCAGTAAACTTGACTCCGGGACACAAGCAACTCTCAGAGCTAGGGCTACACCCTATGGTCGGGGCAGCCCCCTTTCTTAATACTTTACCACCCAAGTCCAGGTTACATCAAGGCTTGGATGAAGCTCACCCTCCAGCCTCCCTAGAGTTCCAGAACTCATTGTAACAGAGGCCAGGAAGCTGCACAGGTCCCCTTCAGCTGCTTGCTTGTGTAGCTAGGCCTGGAGCTGACTGGCCCCAGGAACTAAGGTGGTCCCCTTCCCTGTTCCAGGGCTCAAAAGAATGGACAGAAATGTGAACTGAAGTTCTTGGGGCGGGGGGGAGGTCATGTCTATATTAAAGACTCTACAAGTTTGATTGAGTCATTAGAATTTTGTGATTGTAGAGAGTTGGAATGTTACTGATCCAGATCCAGATCATCTTGGGCAATCTTTAGTCCCCCTTAATAGTCACTCGTTGCTCACCTCTGTGTCTGACCGAACATCCTTGTGGATACCAGGGAAAACTTTCGGGAGTGTATTAACAAGCAGTAGCTCCCACCCACCTAAAAGCTGAGAAGGTCATGCGACAGCATTGGCACTTATCTCAGAGATCACCTCACTTTACGGTAACCTCCTGGTTTCCACAACGGATTTGAAAAATTCCTTGATCTATAACTCTGTTTGTTTTGTTTGTTTGTTTGTTTGTTTTCCAGAGCTGAGGACCGAACCCAGGGCCTTGCGCTTGCTAGGCAAGCGCTCTACCACTGAGCTAAATCCCCAACTCCTGTAACTCTGTTTTTTTTTGTTGTTCTATAACTGTAAAAACTTGGAACATGTTCTCTGGGGCAACCTGAATCCATGTTCTCAGGCTATGGTCACTCATAAGTGGCTCAGAAGCTGAAGTACCGTATTCTCTTAGAGTGAGAGCCCCGGTTTGCGTCCCTCCATCCGCTGAAATCGCTGAAATCGGGTTGTGAGGAAAGAAGGGCCAGGAGGTGGCAGAGCCAGCCTTTCATCCTGTCCTCCCTCAGAGGCAAACAGAAGGGTGGGGGTGGGGTGAGCGAGAAAGGAGCTGATGGCAGAGAATGAGGCTTGTCCAGCCAATGCCTTTTTGTGGGGTCTTAATTAAGCTCGGAGGCTCCATTGTTCCTTTCAGGATGAAACATATGTTCAGGGCCTGGCTGAGGTTTGGGACCGGAATTTTAATGGTGCTTGGCCCTATGGCCTACCAGGGGAGGGGGGAGTGGGAAGGAATACACTGTCTTAAGCTATACAAGGCTAAAAAACGTTCCCAGTCCTGTGTCTCACCTTCTGCCGAGCAGGTGATAAACTTGGTGTGGGTACATCCCTGTGCCCAAAGCTGGCAGTGTGACTGTCAGTGGGCTCTGCCGCCCCCACCATGTGCCATGCAGGTGAGGGTGAGAACATAGTTCCCAAGATAGCCACCACTATGGGCAGAAGCCGTCTGGATGGCTGGATGGCTGTTTGAAGGGATTTGGAGAAACCGCACAGGGAGTTGGGCACATGACCCTGGACGTGTGAAGAATGCTGGTACTGTGTCTCCTGGGGGAAGCACTCCTTCCACTTCAGAAACAACTTCTGAGCCAGCAGAGAATAAAAGGGCACAAATGGGTACTGAGTCACCAGGGAAGATGCTCATTCTGCCATTCCCATTTCCACCTTTTAACTTTTGGCTGAGGGAGACAGGGTACCATATGCCGGACTCTGATTGACAGCATGATTACTCTGGAGGACCCTACCCCGGCCTTCTAGGCTGTTGCCAGCCACCTACTTGGTGCACTATCTGTGTCTTTAAAAGTCCACTCCATTGTTCAACCAAGCCAGATACTTCAGGCTTGAAGCAGAGACCAGTGGGCTCGGAGAGTGGGCCCACGGTCCTACCTCTTTGCCGTGAAGAGTTCCTTGGTCATGCTGTATGGTTTCCCATGACTGAAAAAGGCATTCTGCCAGTCCACTGATGGTACTTTAGGAGAAGTATTACATGCACAAAAGGCAAATCCATAGCCAGAGTAAGAATCAACTCCAGTAAGGTCATGGTATTGCCCCTCCCTTGAAGGAGTGGTCCAGTGTAGTCAAGCTGCCACCAGGCCACCGGCTGGTCAACCCAGTGGATGGTCCGACTCAGTGTTGACCTCTGTTCAGCAGCAGCTGCAGCTGGGTCAGTCTTGGTGAGTGGAAGTCATGTTGCCGAGTGGGTACCCGCCATCTTTTCACTGAATACATTTTTCATAGGCCCACTGAGCAGAGGTCAAAGGGGAAGACCATCCATGTGGCAGGCCATCCTACC